CCCTACCCTACCCCACGCTACCCCAACCCACCTACCTACCTGCCTGCCTGCCTGCCTGCCTGCCTGCCTGCCTGCCTGCCTACCTACCTACCTAACCTACCTGCCTCCGTACCCACCCTACCCTACCCCACGCTACCCCAACCCACCTACCTGCCTGCCTGCCTGCCTGCCTGCCTGCCTGCCTGCCTGCCTACCTAACATACCTTTTTTGTGTTTTTCCTAGATCCGAAAGAGTCTTAAAACCCTGGAAAATTTTTCACGGCAAGGACAACGGCGAAAGTGGCCAAGAAGGCTGCAAGGACTGGAAGCCCGCCGTGGCCCTGGTCAGGGTTTAGGGGTCTAGGGGTCTAGGGTTTAGGGGTTTAGGATTCAGGGTTTAGGGGTCACAAGAGAATGATGTGTTGTGTTGGCTGGGGTCTCCTGTCTCATGCGTGAAGTAGTGCAACACTGTAGCCTGATCGGTTTTTGTCAGTCGCACCCTTTACTATGTTCTCTCCTATCGTATAACAAGATGGAGCCAAAACAGCACCTAAACGTAAGCGTGTGCGTGGGATATGCCTACCTTATAAACCAGTATCGTCCCAAATAACAGATTACATCAGCAAGGCTATAACAACATATTGTCGGCATCAGCATCACTCCAGTCAGCCATGTCGACGTTGTCTGCCTTGCCCAGGACAAAGTCCACGGACGCCAGATCCTCTCCACGACGTCAGAGCCGTGGTCGGCATGGGACCCAGCAGGAAGAGAACAGGTTTCGTGGCCAGGGACGGGGCTTACTTGAAAGCCGGTAGCTAAGCTCCTAAATCATCTACCTTAAAGTGCCCTAAAAGCCCGTTATTACTGTAGTTACAATATAACAAAACCGCAAACCCCATACATGCTCAGTGTATTATAAGTACTATGTGTTCTAAACTATATATCATGTACTGTATATTGTATATTACATACCATATATTATATATTTTGCAATGTGAACTGCATATATGTATACTTTGATGATGCATTATATATGACATTATATGTTCTGTGAGTCGCACAAAATCTAATGCATTCCTCCCGGGTGCTCAGGACAAAATCCAACTCCCCGCCGCGGCGTCGCAACAGGCAGGAGTCTTAGGCTTTCAGAATTTTGGGTTCAGGGCTTAGGGTTTTGTGGTATAGGGTATGAGATTTAGCCTTGTTGAGCTTAGGCTCTTCGTGGCTGAGGGGTTTCGGGTTTCTTAGGGTTGGGAGGTGCTTTTGCTTCGTGCATTCAGGGGGCGGTACATCCGAAAGTCAGGAAGGTTAGATACTCCTAAACCCTAGCATCTTAGAAACCCTTTACCCGGATCCCTGAAGCCATGAGCCAGCAAGCCCTATAGCCCTGAATCCTAAACCCGCTCGCTGCCAGGGCCAAGGCTAAGGCGGCTAAGAAGGCTGCGAAGAACGGGAGAAGGCGTGGCCCCTAGAAGACCTTTTAGTGGTTTTCGGGGCCTGGAAGCCGCACCACCATCCTTTAGTTCTACAGTCTTTTGTAACTAGTAAGGGGCGCTTAGGGCACTTTAAGGTACATGATCTTGTTGACGCCCACAAGAATGAATCCCACACCCCCTACAAGCATTGAACTTCTAGGGATGCAGGCTGAGAAGACTGTAGTTCCCTTAATGTGGGGATTTGTTTATTTGGAATAGGGTTTTCGGGCTCCGTCATGGCTTAACTACAAATCTATTTAGGCTTGGCAGATAAGCCCGGCAGCCCCAACTACGGCTTGTTAGACTTTAGAATGGCTTCTTGTTAAACGATTAATGGAACGAAAAAAGCCTACATCGTGTCCTTTCTTGAGGGCGAAATCCTCCGCAAACTCATCGCCGCCGCGTCGTCGCAAGCGGCACAGGGCCCAAGATTGCCGGAAGTGAGGCTGAAATCGAGGTTTGAATAATGAGTGATGTTATTCCGCTATATTCCCATATAAGTCCTCCACACTTAGAGTATGCTCGACCCCAAAACTCTTTTGTAAGTTTGTAAGGCTGTGCTAATAGATAAGAAGCCTCAGACTTGAGAGGGTTTCGGTGGGCTTAGAGTTTAGAGCCCCAAGATTTTAGTTTTACCGATTGGGGGTTCCCTAAACCTTCTGCCCCCTTAACCCGAAACCCCAAACCCATGTCCATGATCTGACAGTTTAGGGTTCAGGGTTCAGGGTTTAGGGTTTATAAAGCTTAGGGTTTAGAGTGTGCTGACGTCATGGGTGCTCGCTGGTGTGTGCACACCCAGGCCGCTCGCACCCGTGCGTACCAGACAGCCCACGCCAAGATTACCCTGAGTTCAAGCATTGTAGGGTTTGGTTCTAAAATCTTCTAGGCATCCCAGCGCAGGCTTTGGCATCGCGGACGATGGTCGTTATCTTCAACAGGGCCCAGGCAGAATGGAAAGCAGCACTGCATGTCGGCTTTCTGTGAGTCTGTCCCTTTCTGGGCCGGGCTTTCTGTGAGGCTGTGCTGGCGGGTTCTCATGTGTGCTTTCTGTCAGGGTGTCCTGGCGGGTGCCGGAAGAAACAGTGGACCTTCTGCGAGGCTGTGCTGCCGGAGTTGTAAGGAGACAAGCAACAACGCATGTGGGTTTTCTGTGAAACTGTCTCTTTCTGGATTGGCTTTCTGTGAGGCTGCTGCCGGGTTCTCATGTGGGCTTTCTGTACGGCTATCCTGCCGGGTGCCGGAAGAAGCAATGGGCTTTCTGTGAGGCTGCGCGGGCGGGAATCGTCGAAATGGGAACCTCGAGATCGGCCGGCTCCAACTCTTGGAAAAGGTGGGGGGTGCAACCCGTGTCAAGAAGGCAAGTGCTCCAACTCGTTCAGGGCTGGGGGGTCCAACTCTTGTCAAGAAGTCAGGTGTTCCAACTCGTGAAGGGCAACAAGAAGGGGGCCGGCTCCAACTCCTGAGGTGTTGGGGGGTGTAACCCTTGTCAAGAGGACGTCTGGAAGCCGCCCAAATGGGGGGAGGGGACCCTACGAGAGCCCCAAACTGGTCGATTTTGCAATGACCTCTCTTTTTCCGGAGGTCAAACCCAAGGAAAAAAAACATCCCAAAAGCCCAAAGCTGTCTCCCAAACGAATGAACGAGGCAACATCCCAATGAAGGTTACCCTCAATCTGAATGAAGTCCAAGAAAATGCCCTCAGCAGGCCAGAACCCGTGATGACGGCTGGCACTTCGCACCCGCAGACTTGACGAAGGGCTGCTACGTCACCACGATAGCGAACCAGCCGCTCATCAGGGATACTGCTCTCCCTGATGCGGACATTGGCTTTGCGAGTAACGATGGCAAGTCACCATCAAACACTTGGGCATCGGTTCACCATCCCACCGGCTCGCTGCAGGACAGATCAAAGGCATTATCTCCTTCGCCTATCGTACTGTCGGACACCGTGCTCGAGGCGCAAAAGCTCCCAGCAGGCACCTTCGATCGAGCTTCCCATGCAGGCAGAAGGGACCGGCGCCCTCTTGCGTAGAGGCTCCCACACTCCATGCCATGTAGCTGAGATGCCCACTTTGTCATGCAGCTCCGTGAACAACGCCATGCCTTTGCTAGCAGGCGACGCACGTAACTCAGAATCAGAGACACCCCTCCAGCTTTGCAGCTGCTCGCCAAGTTGTGACTGCACTCCGTGCGGCGGCCATGGTCATTGTCCGGCCCACCTGCAGCCTTGCTGCTTTCTTGAGGCTCGCAGCCATCGTCTATGATGTCGTTACCGACACTGCAGCCAGCATCCAAAATCTGGACACTGTCACTTGTTGTGCGCAGTGTCTTCCTGGTGAGGTGACCACGATGCACATCAGTTTGCATGAAGGCGCACCGCATCACCTGTCAATGTCGACAAGGTGTTGTTCAAGCAAGGATTCGAACTGGCATCCGGACGGGATCGCAGAGCAGCAGCACTTCAAGGCATGTATGGATTGGTGGGTCTCGATTCTCCGCCCAGGGTGAGGTCATGTCATATGAGACACTGGGCCTACCAGCTGTTCCAGCATTCCAGCGCTGAGGCTGGCGATCTGAGCCTCTATTTATACGTACATACATACATACATACATACATACATACATACATTCATACACACATACATACACATGCATAAATGCATACATGCATACATGCATACACACACATACACACCTACACACCTACACACGTACACACATACATACATACATACATACATACATACATACATACATACTCGCTTACATACACATACATACATACATACATACATACAGATACATACATACATACATACATACATACATGCATGCATGCATGCATGCATGCATACATACATATACAAGCTTATACTAACTACAAAGTATATACGAACAGATACAGAGTATATATCATGCATATTGTGTGTATATATATACACTCATATACATGCAAATATTATTTACACACACCTGTACATATATGTGTATGTACATACTTACAATTTGTATCTCTATATACATATAAATATATACATATATATACATATATATACATATATATACATATATATACATATATATATACATATATACACATATATATACATAAATTACATATATATACATATATATATACATATATATACATATATATGCATATATATACATATATATACACGCGGACGCATGTACCTACATGTGTCATGTATCTTCGACATTTCGAAGGATGCGAGGATGCTATAAGCGGCTGCTAGGCGCAAGCCGCAGCTGTCTCACTCGACTGGTCGCAAAGCGTGGAAGCGTAGAAACTTCAAGCATCCACGATCACGAGATGTGGAGGGCTGTAGAAAACAACTCTTATTGCAGAGCTATTAGGGACGGGAAACAGCGTGCTTCTGCTTGCATCGTTTTGGATTGCAGCTCACAATGAAGTGTTCAAAGACTTTGCTACATCTACAACCAGATTCGGCATATTCTGCAAACAGTCCGAGCTGTGTAGAGGACTCCCTGGACGCTTTCATGAATGCCACGGTGGCGGAGCTCCGACAGGACATTCTGCGCTCTGTGCTTTCTGGAGGATCTGGACGTGCATGTACAGCACTTGCCGCAGATTCTGTTCATTCTGTCTAGCCAGCCTTCCGATTTTTGAGTTGAGCTTTTGGCGATTTTAAGGGGGGCAGCAGGACCGAGGAGACAAGCTCCAAAGGCGCGCTGAGGCGATTCCCAGTGCTTCTCAGATTCTCAGGTCCCTTGATTGCTCGAGCGCGAGCCTTGTCAGGTGATCAGCGAGCGACTGGTGAAGTTCGAGGCCCTTGAAGCATGAGGCTTGACATCGAGGCATCTCTGTCCTCGTAGGCAATGCTCCGGGAAGCCAAGAAGAACACCGAGGAGGCGGCCGATCAGTATTTACTGCAGTACAAGTAGCTCCTGTTGAGTTGTCGAGCCTGCTTCTCTAGGTCCTCTCGGTGCCGGTCAAGCGGCAGAAGACCGAGGCGACGGATCTGCGTGGTTCAAGAAAACCTCGCTCCTCCTGAACTCTGCGCTACTCAGAACTTCTCTTGCTTCCCTGGAGCTTTGGCCGGCATGCCCTCGTCTTTGTCCATGTTTCGACAGCTACCGAGCATCTTCGTCCTGATCCAATGTCAGATCCTTTCAGGAACGGTCTCGAGCTGTCAGCATTGGATGCAGAAGTACCTCGCAGTGCAGCACTTGCCTAGAATCAGCCGAAATGGCTCTGCCTCAGGTGTCAGCTGCTCCCACTGCGCCTGCGTCCAAATCAAAGCACCTGGCATGCACGGCATAATATTAAGATCTATTAAGATTCTTCCAGCAAAATGGGCTTCACAGTCATAGTTTGACGAACGTTGATGGCGGTCTTTGGTCTGGGATGTATTATGTTGTGTGTTGGAGACGGGAACGAGCTGCTGAGTTGAAGACCTGCAAGGTTCGGTGCTTTTTGAACTGCATCAGACATAGACGCCCCCCGAAGAGCGCGACTTCCTCTCCCTCCTGCTGCCAGGAACGCGCCAGCCTCCACAGCAGAAGTGTTGGCCCGACTCACTGAGAAGGCGGCGCTTCACAAAGTCTGTGTGACATTTCAGGGGTCAAGCCATGTTTCGACGGAGGCCAAATGGGACTGAAAGCCCAGATGCAGACTGCACAACTGCAGAAGTTGCAAGTCCTTCCATCCCCCAAAGTCTTCCATCTCGCCCTGCAAGGAAGCGAAGGCTGCAGCCAAGGCTGAAAAAGCAGAGCAGAAAGCCGAGGAAGTCCGGGACTCACGGCTCGGACAGCGTCGTCCGGAACTGCAGTCGGCCAGGATTGAATCATGAAGCGAACAATGTTTCAGATGGCAGGGGGATGCCAAGAAGTAGTAATTCAAAATGCAAAACGAGTACCGAGACATTCGAGGCTCAACCAGTACAGCTTACGAATGTCCATGCGGTTCTCGCGCTCTGCTTCCTGAAAAGGAAGCGGCTTCCGCTGTGCCTCGGGCGCCGGCTCGTGCCGGGCCAGCGGAGCCGAAGGTGGGGCTTCGGAGCGCAGGGGGGCGGGAGATCGCTCTCCCTGTTTGTGCAGTTGATTTTGTTTGCCCCAAGCAGTTGTCTTTTTCGCGGCTTCCGGAGTTTGAGACTCAGGGGAGCGTTAGGTGGCTTCAAGCTCGGTGGTTGCCGTCTAGGATGCACCCGAAAGCTTTGCAGATTCAGAAAGCCATTTTGATCGTGAGGCTAGCGAAGTGAAAGTCGAAGCTCCGGGCCAGTCGGCACCGCCTGCGACGTGCTGGGCTCGGCTTGTATCTGGGAACACTCGAGAGAGCAGGGACTCGCAGAAGTCTACTCGATATTTCTCGCGGCCGGAGAGAGCCATAGAAGCTCAGGCCCGAGCCAGCTCCGAAGGCGCCAAAGCTTTCGCTCCTTGCAACTCCTTCAACTTCCAGAATGTGCCGTGGGAGGCTGCGATGGCCCCCCCCGCGCGAGCGCCTTCCAAGAGGGTGCACATCGACCCGGAGCGGGACCGCCCTTCTGTGTTGACGTTTCGGCGAACGGTTTTTTGGCCTTCCCAACTGCAGGCCGGCCTGCAGTGCATGGCGGCCGAGCCTGCCGCAAAGAAGAAGAAGGCCTCCGCTGGATCTGATCTTACGGCATGTACACAGAAACTAAAGCCCACGCTCTAGTGTTCGAAGGCCCGTTGAGGCCCGATCCCCGAGCCCAAGAAAGCTCGAGCTTCGGAAGGTTTACGGCGTTGCCATGCCGCCCTCTCGTGACTTGGATCAGGCGAAGAGCGGGTGAAGGGAAGTGTTCCACCGGCCGTACCGTCTTCCTGTCGTAACCTGAGAATCAGCGCACAGAAGAACGTCAAGCCTCGACCCCTGTCCGAGCTTGTAATCAAATCTGCCCACAAGCAGCGAATGTGTTGGTCCTCAGCACTGACCCTTTCGTGTGCCAGGCCGCTTCCGGAGAATAGCGACACGAGTGTCCGGAAAGAGCAGCTCTTGATGGGTGTGGTTGAAGGCTGAAGGTTTGGATGGGTCAGCCCTGTCGAAAGACGACGTTCGGGGAAGCAGAAGCCTACCTGTGGTCCTGCATTTGGCACTCATCGCTGCTTATGCTGTTTGCGGCCTGGGGCATTTAGTATTCAGTGCAAGTACAGACGCCCTCGCTGCTTTTGCTGCCTCCCTGTTCGCGGACTTCTGGCTCAAAAGGTAGTTGGCTATAATGAAGACTTTTCTCGCAGCCGCCAACCTCGCCTGAGTAGCGTGAGTTGGCTGCATTTAGAGATTGGACAAAGAGAGATAAAGAAAGAGAGAACAAGAAGCTAGAGGTTGCTGTCAGTTCTCGATCCCACTTCTTGGGGCGTCGGTGCGAAAGCTGCCCTGCAACCGAGCGTCCAACTAATAGTCGGGCGTCCCTGGACGGTGGTTTCGCCCCTGAGCCCTGATGAAAGAAAGAGAGCCAACAAGAAGAGCGAGCTGCTTCCACACCAACAAGATAGGGGTTGGCGCAGCACCCTGGGGGAACTTGTGGTCGTGGTGTTACTTAGGTTTCTCAGGTTAGTTGCTTGCGTGGGTTGTTCGCTCCAATACGCCGGGGAGCTCGCCTGCCAAGTACGGCTCCAAGCCTTGAGACCTCGATGGTGTTGGCTGGCTTGGGTCTACTACTCATGGAGTCTCTTTGCCGGAAGACGGCGCAACACTGTACCCCGTTAACAGCGAGAGATTCTGCAAACCTACGCTTCTGCGATAGTTGGGCACTGGGAGGGACGTAGGGAGGGCGGGAGGGTTTGATCCCGCACTGACACAGCAGAAGCAGATATTCTGTTGCAGGCTGCCGAACATGCTTGATGTCTTACTGTCATGCGAATGCGACGTTTCACGGATTTGTTTTTCGTCGCTACATGTCGCCTTCGCCACAGTGTTATACCGCGGTATGCAATTACTCGGTGTATTCCTTGGTGACTGTGAACTTTTGCATGGACCATTCTGATGGTGCCCTTTGCCTGTTGAACATGTCGAAAGTGAATCTTGCAGTCATACATGTCCTGGATGGGAGTGCAGTTTGAAACTGAGCTCATTTTTGTTCGTAGTCCTTCTTGTACTTTTTCTCTACCAGGATGTACATAGGCAGTGGCAGGAGGTTCCCACTTTCCGTCCCGAGCTCCTGTCGTTTCTTGACTTCAAAGGAACCTTGTGGTGACATCGTTCCCAAACATGCTCGCAGACTGCACTCAGGAGTTGTTCAAGGCACTGCGACCGTTCATATTACCGACGAAATGAGCCTCGCTTGCACAAGCAGATATGCCTGTTGGTGTTGTGGCACTTTACAGATGCCTCGCCCTGCGCTCCATGCATGTCCCCAAAGGAAGCAAATCATGAAGGCGCGGAAGGCGCCTTGACGCATTCTGTGAGAACAGAGTGGGTCGGCACGGAGGTTTCGTTCCTGATCCTGTATCCACAGTGCGTGAACTATTGGGAGGTCCTGCTGCTCTTTACTGGGGCCGTCGTCAGCTTCGGAAGAAAAATCGTACAGGAGCCTTTGCTTACGCAGCCATCCAGCCAACAATCAGAGTCCGTCGCGCGAGGCTCGAAACGGGAATCGCAACGCGTACGCCAGCACGGCATGAACCCCTCAGCGGTTGAACCCGCTATCACTTTGTGGACAAAACTCAGAGGTAGCATCATTCCGTTTGAATTGCAGGACCACCGCGCTTCGATGGAGACAGACTCCGCAGACAAGGTTCATGATCAATTCGGATCTCTAGCTTGCTTCTTTGATAAAGGCATGCGGGCTGATGATCTATCAGTCGTGTTCTGTGGTGTGCAGGAGTTTGGGATGGCCAGGTTTGAGCGCTTTGAAGCGAAGGCCAAGCCGGACCGGGGGCAGAAAACAGGGTACCGACCGGGCAGGCACGAGCAGCGATTTCTCTCGTTGTCTGTCTTGACCTGAGAGGCCATGGAATTGCTGGCTCACCTAGAGAGCCGCTGGGATGACGTCATGTTTATCGGGCAAGATTGTTCAGGCGACCAGCCTGCTGCCAGAAACTGAGGCCAAGTTCAGAACCAAAGCCACGGGCAGGAAGCTGCTGCAGCCTCAGACAGCAGACTGGGAGAGTAAGCAGACGTGCCGCCACGGCGACTGCCAAATGTGATGGCAGGCCATGCAGCTACTGGCAAAGCTGGAAAGCTTCTTGTTGGCTGTTGGACGTGTAGCAACCGCAGTACAGGGTGCAAGCACAACTTGGACTTGCAGGTCCCAAGGGATTCGCAAAATGGCCTCTCTTCTCATCTGAGGCAAAATCAACAGCTCCGATGCTCACCGCACTATGGAGCAGGGCGTGCCTCGCCAGCATGAACAGCAGGTGCCGACAGCATGGCCGCCGTGCTGCACAGAGTGTTGGCGGCAACCAAGCGCAATCCGAAAGACTGGGACCTGCACATGCCCCAACTCAGCGGTTGCAGCCCGAATCTTCAAGAATTGGCAGGCACCGCAGATCGTTGCCATACCGCAACCCGCCATGCTTCCAGCAGCTCCGCTGTTCAGCGCCACTTTTGGTTTTGGTCTTGGGCCTGGGTTGCAAGTTGCGATGTCTGAGTCTGAGGCGCGAAACACATCGAATCCGATGGAAATGCCGCTTGTCTTGGCTCCGACTCTGCCGATCCGCCGATCCACGCTCCGCAGACGAATCCGAGGTTCGAGGGATGCAAGGCTTCCAGCCCCGTGGAGGCCGACCTCGTTGTCGGAAGGGTTTTTGACAGACGGCGCTTTTGCAAGGCCTTGCTCCGACGGGCCAGCCAAGTGCACGAGGAAGAAGCCCAGGCCGGGGGGGCCTCTCTAAGGTTGGACTGAAGAGCCGCTTCGTTCCTGTGTTCCCTTTTTGCCGTCGCGGCCCTTCTCTCAGGAGGCTCTCAATGAGTCGGCCTTGGGCGCAAGGCCGGATACCGAGCTGACGAGCAAAGACCCGCAGTTAAGACGCAGATCTTGAGGGTTTCCGGAGTCTCCGGTACTCCGAAGCCCGGAATGCTCGCACAGCTTGCAAGCCGCCCGAACTCAAGTTCTTGCCCCCCCCCCCCCCCCCCAGGCTGTCTCGAGTTTGGAACTAAAGGCGAGCCTTCGCGATGCAGGTTTCGAAGCCCTGAACCGCTCCAGCCTAGACTTGCCTAGACCCCATGATTTAGGTCCTAAAGACCTCCGAGATCAGAACTCCCCGACTGAACCCTGTTGTCTCTCAGGTGTAAACTGTACCAAACGCCCATCACGCATTACCGTTGGAATGAAGCAGCTGCAAGCAGCAGCTGCTGCGACAGCCGCAGCAAGGACAAGATGTTGCAGAAGCTGCCATTTCGTGTGTCTCCGTTCTCATTCAAGTCTGGCTTGTCAACGGGTGTCTCCTGAAGTAAAGTCGAGCATCCGCCAACGACTGGGGGCCTGGGACCCCTCACACTCAAATTCTTGCTTGGGTCTTAGTGGCAACAGTCTTAAGTGGCGAGATTTAGCAAGTAGAAGCCTGGTCGAAGCCGTTTGCATGCCAGTGGAGGACTGCAGCGGATGTGAAAAGATGGGCCCCTTGATCCGGATGGTTCCAGACTTCAGAGAGGGACTCCAACTCTTCCAAGACTCAGCTCTAGCTCGCCGAGATTTCTGACACCGGGTCACAGGGCAAGTTTGACGGCTTTCGAGTCCTGAATGTGTCCCGCGGCAGCTTGGAGCTTTCGCAGTTGCCAGTGACGTCACCGCCAAGGAAACGGCAAGTGCGACGTCCGCGAAACCGCTTTTGTCAAGCTGGAGGGAGACGATATGTACCTCCGGCTTCAAGAGAAGACTAGTAAGGATTCGAGAAATTCCGGAGCTCTGTTGCCGACGCAAAGCGCAAGGATCCAGTCTGAGGTTCCAGCTGAATCGGAAGTCTCAAAAGTTGCAAAAGGTATAATCTTCAGCCTTGTCATTAGATGGCTTGAGGTTGGAGGCGTTGGACCCAGGGACGGAACTGCCCAAGCCTGCTGATGAGTCATTGCCTTCAAGGCTTCAAGGCTTACAAATGCCGATGTGAGGTAGCCCGGACTGGCATTTCACCTCTGCTTCTCCCAGGCACACTGCGTGCATGGACATTACCTGGGTGGATGTCAAAGGAAGGACGTGTGCGCCGGCTGGAACACTCTTTGCTGTTGTTTCGCACCGAGGCCCTAGGCCCAACAGCAATCGTGCATATCCGTGGTTCTAGGACCCTAGGACTCATCAGCCGCAGCTCGGTGGCAGAGCTCTGCAAGCATGAACCCACATAAACTTAAACTCGCTCCTGAAGCACAGTTCCCATCCAGGCCCCACAGATCTGTAAGGTCGGCAGCTGAGTTCTGCGGACTGCAACGACTTCCGGTTCCAGGGCACGAGCAGCCGAGAAGCCTGCTGCAAGTGCGGAGGCGAAGATCTGCCGTGTTCGGAGGGTAAAAACCGATTGATGTGCACCTGCAGCTTCAAATCCAAACGCCGAAGAAGATGTCACGTGGAATATTCAATCTGCTGATCCCCGATTGCAGTACATAGATACGGGCAAAAGGAAGCGTAAACAAAGCTCTTTCCTTCGTCTTCGAACTCGGGCCCTCGACTCTCAACCGTCAAGTGCTCTGAAAGATGCGTTTTACCGGCACTTGGAAGGACTTTTCGCATGTTTGCAAACGCTTGTTCCATGCAAGGGTTTGCCTCGCAGGTTTGTCCAGATTGAGGTTCGCTGTCTGCAGGCATGTTGGGGTAATCAAGGCTTTTCACTGCATGATACACACGAAGTCAGATCACGTACCTGTCCACTGAGTTCAATGAGAGGCGGTATCAAGACGGCTACTCCTTTCAAGTATGACGACTACACGCTCCTTGCCTGCCAGGGTTGTGGTTCGCTAGTTGAAGCATGACCTCGAGATTGTGATACGCCGCCACTATCATGACCGAATGTTCGCCTTGTGCTTGGTGTTTGATTCACTCGTCAGGCTCCTCTCTGCAAGACTGCAAGAGTCTGTGAGCTTTTCAATCCTGAGCCGAAGCCGTCTGCAGAAGACCCGAAGCCCCCTGACTTGCACGGGCAGGTACATTCTTGGTGAGCAAGTGTCCTTGTGGCCGCAGCCTCGCACGGCCACGCGCTACGGTCTCAACGAGAACTGCGAATTTGCTGGGGCCCTAGCAGTGGCTGTGGCAAGGAACTGTTCATCCAGGTTCAAGGGTTCGAGTGGAGTATTGGGCTGCATCGAAGGGAGATGAGGGGAGGAAGGAAATTTAACGAAACAGCCAAACACATCATCTCCTTCACCATTGCCCTTGCCCTTGTGCAAATAACGAGTTGAAAACCGTGCTTAGTTTGTAGAAACTTCTGAGGTGGAGACCCGAAGGAATGCCTTGACAGAAAAATCATTTGGGGCCCCAAGACTATGGAAGAAACGCCTACCTGGGAAGGGTCCTGGGATGTTAAGCTTAGGCCCTGTACAACTTGACCTTGAACGGTGCGACTGGCGAGGCCTGTGGTGAGAGCGAGTTATCTTGTGTCGAAAAGCCGGACTCGCGTAATTTCTGGCCCCACATCCCTCACTCAACGGTTTTGCTTGGGCTCGTGTGCGCCGTGTTTAGGGAGGTTCGGACTTCGGTTCTAAAGCCTAGGTGCGGAGTTGGATATTCATTCTGAAGCAGACCAATGGCAAGTCCATAACCCGAGGACCCAGCAGCCAGCAGCCATCAGTCTCCTCCTCCCCAGCTACGGATATTCGGACTCTCGCCCCGGCCGGAATTGTTTGTGCTCAAGCCAGAATTGAATGTCTTACGTGGGAAGCCCGACATCAACAGTGCATCCCACAAAGTCATCACACGCCACGGAAGTCGACCCTGTCAGCATGTTACAAAGAGGGCAGGGAAAGTCGAACAGTGAATCACTCTCGTCGACACTTTGACCCCAAAATAATGGACACCTCTTCATGAAAGCCCCAAAGACAACCCCCGCGGCTCGAATGGCGTCATTCCACCGGCTGCCATGTGCGCCTTTGAACCGGGCGCAGTGGTGGCGAGGCTCTGAAAGGGGTTCGGGTTAGGTTTGGGAATCACCTCTCTGTCTTCCTACTTTGGCTCTGCCTGTGTGTGTGTGTGTGCAAGCACGAGCCCATTCAGTTTTTGCTTCGGTGCATCTGTCATGCGAACCCAAGAAGATGGCTTGTTTGGAGCACAGATCAGAAGCTGCAACATAATGTAGTCAGACCCGATTTCTCTCTCCCCTCTTTCTGTCTCCGCCTGATGCTTGCCACACCACCTCTCGCCACGGCGCGGTGCAAATCTTGATTTGGGACTGCGGGGTTCTTGCGGAATTCTTCGGCAGGTAAGGGGCCTTCCAGTTGTGGTCTTTCACTGTCGGTTTATGCCGGCACTGGAGTTTGGGCCGGCTTCGGGAGCCTCAGTCCTAGATCCTGAGGTTCAACATCACATCCGGAACGAAAGGTCCTCAAACCCCGAAGTTACCGGCACCGTCACATCCAGTTGCCCTCCATCAGATCCGATTCTTGACTCTTCAGGTTCCCGTCTCTATGCCTCCGATGCCACACTTCGCAGCCATGGCGGCGTGAACGTGGGACACCTGGCTGGCGCCATAAAGGCGGGTAGTGGGTCGCCGGCGAGGATAAAATCCAGTCCCAAGAGCTTGAGGCGCCCCTTTCGCGGGGTGAGACTTGTGCCGTGGATGCAGTCGGCCCGGCCGCGCTGCTCAAGGCGTTGAAGGCACGGGCGAGTTAAGCTGTGGCGCTTCCAACCCCTCTGAAGACAATTTCGTGGTACAAGAATGTGCGAGGTTAGGTGCTTCGTGGCGTTAGGTGATTCAGAGATTAATACGAGGGCGTTCGGTGCGGAAGTGCAGCCTCCATTGCAGACGGCCTGTTTCCCTGAACTGTATTACATGTAAGCTTTTCTCTCTCCGCCAAAAGCAGAAGGGTTCGCTTCGGAAAGGCCATGATTTTTGCCAGCGACTACTTGCAGGACTTGCTCTCCACGATTCCTCTGATGCTACAGTCTCGACCGCTCGAGCCATCGTGGTCCCAACTTCACACGCTATTTAGCAAAGCTGGGAGCTGTGGGCACAGGAGCAGCGTCCAGGCTTCCGTGTAGCTGGTGAGCCCCGCTTGGAGAGCGTCCCTGCCTCAGCGGAGCAGCCCGAGACGACGAAGCTGCGAATGCATCTGCCACTCCAGCTGCATCCAGACGGCCAGACGTGCTGAAACAGCGGCAGACCATCACCATGCCCTCACAAGCGGAGGTCCTTGGTGCCAGAGCCACCATTCCGCAGCGCTGCAGCTCTTCTGCTGCACACACTCCCTTGTCTAGGCATTCAGAGTTCCTGCCGGCACATCTTAGCTCGCGACGAATTCGAATGTGCCTGGAACAAGGTGGACCTCACGTTCGGCAAAGGCACCAACCCTGGCATTGCAGCTGCCACCCTCGCTCAAAAGATAAAGCTCCAAGGCAGCTGTCACAACGGAGAGGTTTAAGAGCTCTCCCTACTCGTAGGAAGACGACAGAACCGTAGCCGAGCCGACGACGGCCAAGTGAGTGCAGGTCCAACGACGGTGTCTGCAATGGGCGCCCTGCCAGCTTCGAAAGCGCTGAAGTCCGTCATTATTGCGCAGAGGACTCTTGGCCGTGGGTTTAAAGTTGGACGGCTCCTTGAAAGGCTTACCTCTCTGCTCGTCTAGAACCTAGGAGTGAAATGTTTGTTGGTTCGAGCCCCTGCTTGCGACCCCTAAACCCGATTTTCGCTTCAACTGTAATGTGTTCAGGGCGCCCAGACAAACGGGCTCGCTGCCTGACACTTGTATCTTGACCCCCTCCGTATTCAGAGCATCTGCTTCATGAGTAATGACCACTCGTGTCGCGATTGCCGGTTATGGCTGCTGTCCAGGATCCAGGGTCTCTATCGGAGCGTTGCCATTGTTTACAAACGTGCTACCGGGAGCTTCTGCTTCTATTGCTCACTGATGTGGCGGCAGATCCCTCGTCTAGCGTCCCTCACGAGCGGATAGCTCGGCATCCAGGTACTTGCACGAGCACCTGGGTGAAGATGTGCTGTTGGTCGTGCCTGCCAAGCAAGTGCTGAAAGAGGGCCGGGGAGTGGGCGACGAGGAGTCTCCTCTACGACCCTGCACATCCCACGTAGCGTAGCGGCGTAGCGATGCCCTGAGAGGAAGTGGTGCGGCTGCTTTTGGCTCTTCTGCCTGGGCAGAGCCAGCGCTGAGTCGGCGCGTGGGATCGGTGTCAGATGCAAGCGGGATGGACCTCTTGAGCAAGCTGGAGAAGATGCAAGCGCATCGACTCAGACGGCGACGTTCTGCTTCCAAGCCTTGCGTTTATGCTTCACCTGTAAGCTCTTCACCGAAAGGCAACCAACCGGCAACAGGCAGGTCGACAGTTGACTTGAGTCTTTTGGACAGGCAGGTGATCGGGTTTAAGTGCTTTCTCCTGCAATGCTCGGGATGGTAGGCTTGGGCGGTTTGAGACCTCGCAGGTTATGAGGCCATTGCCACAAAACACCTCAAGACAGGGTGCAGAAGCACCTGTACTTCCTTCTAGCTTGGACCCCAAGGTCCTGAACTCAAATACTATGGGTCCGCCGTCACGGAAACCCCACAGTGATCCCGCCACTAGCCGAGCCCAACAAGTGCGGCTGCCATGCCCGGGCAGGCTTGAACGTCCTTGATTGTTTCTTGAAGGGGCTTTTCAATGTGGCCATAAGCAGGCGGACCCGATTGAAATAGCAACAAAGATTGTGCCGCAGTGATCACAGCTTATCACAGCTTCGTGTATGAGATCTAATTACATGGTGTGGCTGGATTGGTGCGGGATCAGCGGTCTAGAGACGAAAATCCAGTAAACGAGTACTGATTCCGGATACAGTGTCAAACGTCTACACAGTGTCTTGTTTGCAAAGCCTGAGCATTGCATGCTCAGGTAGTTGAGTGATCAGGATTTAGTGTGCCAAGCTAGCACTGAAGACACAGGCATATCATATCTGTAAGATTCTTCAAGAGAGGCTTCTATGCTTGTCAAAGTGCAAAACCCCCCCCCAAGCCTTGCAGACGAAACGAGGCTTGGCACAGCTTGCGCGCTGCCAGCGTTGTTCCCAGCACAACTTGACTGGCCAGACGGATCGCTGACTGTCAGGGAGTCTTCGCTGGATCAAAAGGTGCATGCGGCTTCGGCCCAGTCGTCTCACTCGCTTGACTGCCTTTACTTGATTCTGGCCTCTGCAATTATCTTTGCCTTAAGCGTGCCGAGCTGTGCGGTGCATTCTTGCCTTGAAACCGAGTGATACTGGTGTTGATGGTGGAAACATTGTCAGCAGGTGACCTTCATCAAGGGCGCCGGGAAGCCCAAGGACCCTTTCAAAATCAGCTGCAAGGCAGGGTCTCCACGCACGCCTTTCTGCCCGGCGATTCAATTCGTAAACGCATTCAGCATGTCATTGACTCGCAAATCCGAAGTCGCGAGTCTGACACCACACTGACTTTTCGACTCGACCCCTGGGCTTAGAGTCTCGGCTCGGGCTCTTGGTACGCATCAGGAACATACCCATGCACCCATGCACTGCTTTGGACCAGTAGGCAAAGCATCAGCGGAGGTCACGGCCTTCCAGCCGCATCATCTGTTCTTCACGGCAGCTTTTCGAGAATCAAGGCATTGGCACTTTGTTATTCTAGGGGCTGCGCCCACCGGCGGGCAGCGCAGGTAACAGCCCGGACAAACCGATATAAACTTGAGCTTCAAACCGCGAACGATCTAGAACAACATTTGACAAGGACAGGGGCGACCTTCTTCCCCCCTCCCCCGCGTGCCCAGGGCCGCACTGATGCTGATGACGCGCGCCCCGTGTCCCGGACTGGCGTCGCTGATGCTCATGATGCACGCCCTTTGGTGGCTACCCATCTACCCCAAAATTGCGCAGCAAAAACTCGAAATTGGGTTGGGTCGGCGGCCTAAGCCTCGCCTGAGGCTCGGCCTCACGGGGCGCACGCGCTTGGTCACGGGACCGAGCGCTGCCCGATTTAATGGCTACCTACCGCCAGTGCTGCCGACTCCCGGAGCCGAGAGTAAGCCAATCATTAACCCGTAGGCCCCCAGAAAAGCCCTTGGAATACCCCAAAACCGGAGACCTGGAGTAACTTCGAACCCGTGACAAGTGAACACTGTTGCTCTGAAGTCCGGACTCCCAGACCCCCAAAAATAACTATACACCCTCACTGGATGTTGGTGCTCGAGTTGGAGGGGGGGGGCGACAAGGACAGGCCCCGGCAATAGCAGCAGGGACGGGAGGTGAGGGATGGGGGGAGGGGCGTTGTGGGGGAGGTGGCAGCACTGCACAAGTGCTGAAGGGGGTTGGTTAACTTACTCATTACTCTCACAAAGGCAGCGTGACGGAGCCTGGGCGAACGTGTTGGGACCGCGTTGGGGTGGAAGTCTATTGCCCAACGACCAAAAAGACAGCGTGACGGAGCTTCGAGCGGCCGTGGCGGGCGGTGGGGGGGAAAGTGGGTTTTGGAAAGGTTTGGGGGGGTTGGGCCTGCATTGGAGTGGAATTTCATGACTCGACTGCCCAAAGCGAGACAGCGTGACAGGCCTGAGCGGGCGTGGCGGGTGGTGAGCGGGCTTGGGCACTGTGGGGGTAAAAGATAGAGGGCGCAAAGAGCGAAGCCCAAGCAGGGATCATCAGCAGCGGAGTGCTCAACAACCGAGCCAAAAAAAAAACACGCGCCACCCCTGGAGGGTCGGTGGATTATAGAACCTGCAGCGGATGTGACTCGGAGGTTTTGGTTGAGATCAGGATGCCCCTCTAACCGGTAGACCCTGTCGCCCCGTTGGCGGCGTAGGTCGTAGGTAATATGCGTAGGTTGCATAGGCAGCTGCACGCAGACCCCGCAGCATGAGAGGTTTTTGTGTCGCAGAGCCTAGGGAGGCTAGGGATGTGCAGGATCGTCGCATCGAAGAATTTGCAGCGTAAAATGGTGGAGCCGGATGAAAACATGCTCTAAGGCCACTGTGACAGTGGCGATGGCCGAGCTGTCATACGGCCCTTCTGCATTGCTGCGCAGACCTCAGAGTTAGAACGGTGACCGCTGTGTCACTGCCTTGGTGGCTTGGAAGGTGGTGATCTCTGTGTGTTTGTACTTGCTCGTGTCTGTTCGTCGAGTGCTAGGGTTTGTGGTCTTCCTGTGCTGCACAAAGAAAGACCATGCATGAGTCAGCGTGCAGACCAAGTTCTCCCGACTGTGGTCTTCTCATCCCGATGTACTGCAAGCCTCCGCTATCAGGTAATTTGGTTCGACCTGCTTGGGAGGGAATCTCTGTGCTCGAGCACCTGCAAGTGCGATTCGGGTCTTCCAGCCCCCACAGAATCAGATCTTCAATGCGAGTCTCGTCACCTTGAACCTCAATCTGCTAAGGTTCACTGCCAAGACAACAAGCCATTCCCTGCAGAAGTTCGCTCCACCCAAGAGCCAGTGGAAGGACAGTATAAGGGCTTGTGAGTTTGGGCTCCGTCTTCGGGCTGGGGCCTGGGATGCTTCCAGTCCACAAGGCTCTTAAATCCAATATCGATTGCCGAAAAAAGGCCGGATCCCGAAATCCTCGGTCCTCGGTCCTCTGAGGGAGGTTTGATCCCAAGCCCCAGGACTTCCAGAAGATGTGTGCGCCGGATGCAAAGTGGGTGACGATGGACAGCACGGGGCGTTTCGGCAGAAGAACGTTCGTAGTGGTGTCTTGAGGCAGCAGGTGCTTCGCCCGAAGGAGTACGACTCCACATCGTGGATCTTCATCTCTTCTTCTGGGTTGCACTTGTGGTCTCCGTCTCCCAGTCATGAAAACTGCTCGGCTTGTGCCAAGGGACTTGAAGCTCGCTGCGGCGAAAGAGACAGGTGCTGTGGACAGCGTGCAGGTGCTTAGACCGCTTGGCTTGGGGGGCGGGGGGGGTTCCAGGCCGGACGAGTCATTGTCCGTTTGAAGATGCACCGAAGTCTCAGGGCCCTGCCTCTTCTTCGCCAGGACCTCTACAAAGGCCAGACAGGGACAGTCTGCCATGTCTCTGCGATGCTGCGAAAGAGCCCAACTGCAGACTGGGAGAAGAAGTCCGTCGATGCCACTCCCACAGCAAGAGATCTAGGACTTCAGCGCCTAGGGCGCGTTAGGGCATGAGGTCTACTCTGGAGCTTGGCATCTGCACTTCGAAATGCTCGAACTCTTCGGGTCTGGATCGTAGCTTCCCTCCGATGCGTGATGGGACCAAGCCTGCCCGATCGTGGCTGCATAATCTCCCCCAGTCAGCCTTTAGCCGTGCCCTTGAGTGCCAAAACCAGACTGATGAGACAGTCAGACAACACTGGCAATCAGCCGACGCGGCACCTTCAGACCCGCGCTTGTCCGGTCTTCTGAGTTTATCCTCGTCAAGCCGAGCCCCGCGAAGAAGCTGTCCTACTCTACGAGCCTCATCGCCAGCGGCTGGGCCTTCAAAGCCTTGGGTCAGGGCTGCGCTCCAGCGCCCGCAAGATCATGCTAGGTACCTTCGAGGCTTTGTTCGACATGGTGCAGCATACACATCTGGGCCTGCGTGTGGAATGTTTGCCCGACTGACACTTTACATTGGTCCACAGCTTGAGCCCGAGAGAGAGAGAGTTGCATGTCGAACTGATTGTCTGCAGAGCTAAAAGACGGTCGAAAACCTGAGGATTCTTGAAGATTCATAAACTTTGATGCAAGTTCCTGGCGCCGCCGTGAAGCCCTAAACTTCGCTGCCTGTCCCCTACATCTCGAGGCTCCATTTCGCAAGTGGTGCCGCCGGTTCTTCCAGTGCCTTTCAAGGAAGGCGCAGGGACCTGTCTCGCTTCGTGTAGGCTGTGGGGTCAGGGTCACGATCCCTCTGGTCTGAAGAACTTCACATGTTTCGAACATTTTCTTCAGTCTTCTTTCAATCGAAAGCCGAAGCAACTTGCTTGGCTCCGCATTCACCGCTTCTACTGGTACGTTGTTGCAGGCGGTGCTGAAATAACTGGGGCAACTTGTGCTAATCAAGCGCCTTTCTTTTCCAGAGTGCAGGGAGCTCAACAAACACTCGGTAGAAGTTTCACCGGGCCAAGATGCTTCTCGCTTGGGTTTGCAGGGCGATCGGACGTTCGAGGTTCTGCGCCGGATGTGAGCAGTGGTTCTGGAGATGTCAGACCCAGTGTCGCGTCCCGCTTCAAAGTCCTGGTGTCCAGGCGAGATGCAGCCCAATGCTTACACGATGCGCTGCGACAAGGCACCCGTATTTGAGGGTTTGTCGGGAAGGGGTCGGGTCGGGTCTTGACCCTGAGCTTGGAGAGGCGGGCTTCACCTTCGACAGCCTCCACGGCATCGGGTGTCCTGCTTCCATTTCACGGAACTTCGCTGAGTCGTGGAATTCGCGAATTCGCTGCCAAGGTTCTACAACGGCCATCCCCTGCTGGCGCGCCGGGGTCTGTTTGGGAACTGTTGGGAACTGTTGGCAGCTTCCGAACTGGCGAGAGCCACGGAAGCTGCGTACGCAGCTCAACTTGCCAAGCCTCCAAGCGTACGATTCTGGATTCGAAGGCCCTGAAGTACTGTAGCGCAGCATGGCATGCCGGAGCTTCTCGCAGGAGCTGCAGCCCAACGGCCAGCTGAGCCTAAACATCGGTCCCTCCTTTGCTGCTTGTATATTTTAGATGGTATCTGATAAGGGTAGCATCTAGACGCACGGGTAGTAGTTGAGTTCGTAGCTTGGTGACCTGGTAAATCTGCTAGGGCTCAGGGTTAATCCTAGTCTTAGTCTGAGGCTTGAATTGTCAATCTTTTGCAGTGCTTTGGGGACCTGCACATCCTGTGACAGAACTCACTCAGAATCCGGCATGCACGAGCCTATCTTGAAAACCTGGCTGAGGTACATATCTTCGACAGCATGGGCAGCAGCAAGCACAACAAGAAGGCCTTTCGACTTTGAGAGCATCCAGTGATGCCAAGGTCTCAACCCACGAATCACAAAGCTATGGAACATCGAGTCTGCTGGATCAATCCTCAGCCAACTGGCTCATAGTAAACTTTCCCTGTGTCCGAGGCAGAAATGCAGGTGCCTCCAGCGTCCCAGAATCTGTCGTAAGACTCGCCGAAAGACCTCAAGCTCGAATCAACCGCTCTTGAATTCTCTCGGGCGAGCTGTCAGCTTGCCGGAGACCTTGATGGCATTGCCAAACGCCTGTAAAGCTTGGAGGGAGCTTCATTCGCTTCGCAGATCGGCTTGCTGGACTTGAAGCTGAAATGCCGCATCTTCGGGTCCTTCGGGGATCAAGCGCCCCGGATGAATAGATTTGAGATTTGAGGTGCCTGGTCGGTCCCGGAAACTTCAAAGACTGGAGCTTGCCGGCGGAACAAGAACTGGGGAAACAACTTTTACAAGCGCACGCGCAGCGGGCCTGGATGCCTCGAAACTCCCAAGCCTCCACCCCTATGCCTTTTTGCCAAATGCCACAAGCATGCTCAATGTTCAGGCGGAGATGATTCAGGCAACGGCCTTTGGGACCACGTCTAGAGTCTAGGTGCATCAACAGGCTCCTCCGAATCGCAAACTCTGCAGTCCAGCTATGCCCAGCTCGCCTCCCCGCCTCAGTTACGAGGATCTCGCGCCCATCTCTACACGCATGGACATCGTGGTGTCGGATTCCACCTGCTGGGTGGAGGCTCCCTTACCTTGTGCTGTGAGAATTCGGCTTTTCAGATCAAGGCTGAAGGGAACTAATTTCGAACGCTTCGCGTCGTGCGCCTCGGCTGTACTTGAAGCAGGTACATTTGTTTCGGAAAGCGACAGGTGGGTCACACAGGTGAGGTCTTGCATGAAGGAGTGCATTTGCTTCAGAATGAGTACTTAATGTCAGTATTTGTTTTCCTCTGAGCAATAATGCCACGCGACAGTCCCTTCATTATCCTATAGGCATTACTATAAACATGGTATTACACTTCTCGCTCCCATGTGTTGGAAGGGGACTGGGGAGTGAAGCTTTGCAAGAAAGTACGAGACACAGCACCAGAATTCATGAAAGCTAGCCTGTCTTGCTTCGCCCGCCGCAAGCAAGAGACGCGGAGGGGGGGAAGGGGGCGGGGCGGCAACAGCAGCCCAAATTGGGGTCAGTTTTCGGCAGCAATTTTCTTGATAAGGGTGGGTCACCGGGGAGCGGATTAAGGCTTTAATTTATGGCGTGGGCACTGCAGGCGGGTAGCTGTTAGGATTGCATGAGAATACACTACGCATGCCACATGAAATCATGTCAGGGCTGGGTCGGCCGGGCCTGTCAGCTGTTCGGCAACCCTATGCCCGAGCTCCTGCCGTAAGTGCCTGTGCCCTCACAGCGCAGGGTCTTAAAAGCCTGGGTTTTAGCAGAAGCAGATGAGCTGCAAGCACGGTAGTGGAAACAGGCATTGCTGGCAAACCGACTCCGAAGCGCACCGTCATACCTGTTGGAAAGGCCCGCTTTTGCTCCCGCTGGCGCAGGAGAGGATCCCTTGTCGAAAGACCCATCGCTGGACCCACGTGACCAGCCATGCCCAATGCCAACACACGTGCAGGACGATGGCATGGGAGTGTTTCGGGTCCCTGGAAACCATACCCACAAGCCCAAAAACCCTTCTTAATGTTAATGGAGATGCCATGTGTTCAAGGTGTTGAGGTTGAGCCACACTGTTTCAATGCCTGACACGAACATGTATGTAGATTGCTTGGCAGGGCGGGAGTGTTTCATGCTCGCACCCATCGCGAGTCCAACTTTCAGTAATTGAAGAGTGGTTGCGGCAGGAATACCGCAAGCTGCTCTCACTACAAATACTGGCGGCGTGGAAGGGTGACTGGGACAAGCAAGTAGCAAGTGACCTTTTCTGCGGCGGTTCGGATTTGTTTTGGCGTTTTTCGGTTCACGTTGAGTCTGAGTGCGGAGTTCTTTGTCATCATACGGCGTTGCATGTAATTGAGTGGTGCTGCTGCGCACGGTCTTTCGTATCGTTTCTGGAACTGTCAGGACAGGATGTTTCTCTTCTGGGTTGAGATACCACTACAGCACTCACTCGCCGACGAGGGTAATGCTGGACTAGCATGGCGGCTCGGGGATGTAGAGAAGATCGTGTCGCGGCTGCGACGCGACCGCTTGTCAGACCTCCTACTGCTACGACACCAAGCTGGACGAGACGCAGACCGGCACCTGCACTGTGTGGTCCAAAATCCCGGATCCTTGTTCGCACGATTTTCGAGTAGGCTTCGGTGTACAGAAACGAGGCGAGGTCTTTAGCTTCCTATCGAGCTCTGGTTTGTGGAAGTCGCATTTTGGAGGCACCCACTTCACCTTACGACATTTAGAAGAGAAGCTCCTGTCGTGAGCACTGCCCTGCGAAACGGAGACATGAAAGAAGCTGCCAGAAGAGTCTTTAATGCAATGGAAGACAATGTGGCTCACCGGAAGCTTGGAAGAGTCTGCAAATCATTAGTGCGGCGGCCCGGTTCGGTTCTCAGCTCTGTTGAGACAGGATTGCAATCCTATGAACACCTGCGTCAAAGTGGATGCACCCACCTGGCTGGAACGAGGCAATGCAGTAGTAGAGACTGAGTTGCTGGGATGGTGATCGCTTCGATACGGTCAGCCCGGCACCTATCTTTGACAGGCATCTATTGCCCTGTGGGCTACGACATTGACCGGCAGAGCATGACGTACCTCAAGGCCGCGAGGGCCTGCGTCACGAAATATGGCTTAGACACTTCTCTCCCTCAGCTCAGGACGTTTGCCCTTCTTTTCCGATCATCCCTACTGTACTTATTTTCTTCCCTCAAGACCCTGGCATGCAAGGATGGCAAGACTCCGAAGGAGACGATCTATCTGCGCCGGTACAAGGCTTGGGACCCCGCAAAGGGATTTAAAGGGAGGGGGCTCTGTTCGTATCTCTCTCCCTGCCCCAATGCCCTGCACCCACCCACGAACTGAAACTGAATGGGCTGAAAATGACACTCCCAGCTTTAGAATACAAAGATTATGTTTCTCCTCTTGCTATTTAGGGACATTGCACGTGCCGCGATTCATCTAGTCGGGCGCCAATGGCTGACCAGGATGGTGTTGACCAAACCGTGGATGGCTGCACCAACGGCGGATGGCACCTGGGCTGCGACAAGCACAGCGGGAGTGGAAGTTTGATGAGGGTTTCCTTCCTCTGCATTCCTCTGCCTCCGCAGACAATGCGAACACCTGGACGGGCGACCTAGGGCCTAGATTTGCTGAGGTTGCTGCAAGAGAAGGATGCGAACGACTTCATGAGCTTGTCGAAAGGGATCTTCGAGCTCCCCGATGCATGCGCTTGGCATTTCAGGTCGCTTCTTCACAGCCGAACCCAAGCGGTCGCATCCAAGGGGGTGGGCCAGTAAGCTAGTAAGCAAGCTGAATGAAGCCGGCCGGAGTTGTCTCCGTGGCCGCGGGATGCGGGCTTGTCCCAACCAGACATGAAAGGCCTCAGCCTTGGAAGGTGTGTGGAAAGGGTCCGCTCGAGCCCTTTAGTCTGGCATCCCGAACCACAGCCGATGCGTCGCAAGCACAAGAGTAGTCAATGGTCACAGCGGCAACGAGAGACAGCATGTTGGCGAAGTGAGCCCAGGTTCTCGGGACCTCTTGTCGGCTGCCAGGTGAAGGGGGTGAGCATCTGGGCCCCAACGCAGGGCTTAGGGGTAATGAGGTGTTCGAACATTTTCATAGCTTTGGAATCGCTGACTCGCCGAGCCTCACCTCTGAGACAGGCATGCGACCGATTTTGTCCAAAGGCTGCTTCTTTAGAGTCTCAAGTGCCAACAACCTTCAGGTGAGTTTTAAGCATTTGGAGTTACGGGTGGAAGCACATCCTGCGCAACAGAAGTGGCTCAACGGTTCGCTCCAATCCAGGCTCGACCTGCGTCTTCAGCCCTTTTCACCTCGGCTCTGAGCCTTCAGCGAGGCTACACCGGCCTTCCTTGCGAGCAGCCGGGAAACATCACAGAGGCCCAACTGTCACTGGAAGAGCTGTCCGCCTTGCATGGAGGGTCATGCGAAATTTGGAGCCGCAGGAAGGGGCCGACGTGCAGCCGATTATCTTGCACGACCCGAACACACAGGATCCTGCTGACTTCTGGCTCCATCCATGCGCCGCGTTGGCTGCAACCGCGGGTCTCGAATCCTCCCCGAATCTCTTCTTCTCTCCATGTGCGATTTGCAAGAAAGAGAGGCCTCGTCGCTTCGTCGCTTCGTGACCTCTTAGAGCTGAAGCATGAACGCGTCTTGAGATTTGATGTCACAACCCCATATCAATGTCCTGCTTGAACAACTTGAACGCATCCGCATCCAAGCCGCAGCCCCGAAACGCCACTATCCATGATGCAGGCAGGACGCCATCGAGGCTTCCTTTAAAATCAAGGGATGGGATTTAGGATCGGTTCGCTGGCCATAGCTAAACCAAAAAGGTGCACTCAACCCAAAAGCCATGAATCCTGAGCGGGGTGCGAATCACGTTGTCAAGGAGCAAAGGGAGAGTAGGTTTGCCCTGCTAAGGATTGTGCAAGCAAGGCGAGCTGAACCAGTTGACATCGGTGTCTGGTGGATATCAGGGCAGTGAGGTTTACTGATTTTTTCTTGGCCTGCAGTGCTGGAACAGAGACCCTTGAAAGCCTCTATGTAAGTGTGCCAGTGACAAAAGTTACGACGTAGTGTGCTGGAGAGTGGCAAACTTCATGGCTATTGATGTGGCTGGGCCTAAACGCACAACCCACGAGATTTTCACAGCTTAGCTCTGTGAAGCTCCTACCGTGACTCCGCACCCAAGTCCCCAGCTCTACACTCTACAGCCCGAGAAAGTTCACCTTCCGAGAGCCTCTGCGCAAGCCCTTGCGAACCGTCCTCGGCAGATGTGGGGCGACAAGCCGCCAGTGGATCCCCAGGTGCATTGGATTTTCAACGGAGGTTGTTAGTGTTGGAATGTCAACTGAATCATTAGCCTCTACTTGCGCGTTTGTAGTATAGCTTTCCGTTCAGGGTTTCCCGCACACCGTGCGATCCAGATACCTTATCTGCCGCTCTTTCGCAATGAGGTCTTCGCACAGATGCCACCAGAGTCTGTCGCCCCTCGCTTGCTTGGACGACTTGGTGTGGTGTTTGTCGATGTGCCTGGAGTTGGAATGCTGTGGCGGTTGCCAGTAGCAAGGTAGTACAAGAAAACCAAAGGTTGCTAGAACCGGAGTGCAGTCGCCAAGCACGGCAATGTACGCTTGAATTGAATCTTCAACAGGTAGAGGTCAAGCACGAGGAAACGCCAAAAACTGAAATGCGCTGAACCATCGGGAGGGGCTCTGCGCACAAGAACTGAGCTCAGGGACGACTTTGTTCCGTCCCCGATGATGATCGTTGAAGGTCAGTTTGTTTGTCTGGCACTCAGCGGCTCACTGCAGTGGTTGAGGACTCTCTGAGAGTTTGAGTCAGAGGGGATTGCGGATACGTTTAGGCGTTTAGCTCTGCCGCTGGAGGTCCCCCTGGTTACATGCTCGGGGATGGGCCCATCTTCGAAAGTGACATCGAGTCCATGGAGATCGGAGACTGCGAGGCCCTTGGGACCGTAAGGCCCGTAAGTCGTGGGCCATTAGGTTTGGGCAGAGTGCCTTTGCTTGGGGCTTGAGTTCTCTCAGTCTCTCACGAAAGGGCTAGGATCAAGAAGGTTGTCAGGACATTCTGGAACCATTGGGATTTGTGGCAATCAATGCCTGCGCTGCGACACAGACCCCTACTCTGCTACAGTGGGAATATCCAAGCTGTGCAATCATGGTCAGACGAAGCGTTCCGACGTGCGGCTTTCTTTCGTTCTTCCTTAGGCTTGCCAGTTCTGGGCCATTACTCCAATCCCCATCAAAACCAAGCTGCTAGCCAAGACAAGAGTGACAGATGATGCTCAGATTAAATGCAAGAACAATGACGACTGCCACTTCTTCTGGCACGGCTCGCAGCATTCTGCGAACACATGCCGGCAGCTTGATTTTGCAAGGATGACGCCCAGCGTTGCACAGGTTGTCCCTCCGAGACTTCCGACAGTTATGGGTTGCACTTGCGGCATCCTTGCGGGCTCAAGTCATGAGCAGTATGCCATCTGTTTCGCCTGAGGTTGTACTCGAGATGTGACAATCTTCTCCGAGAGCCCGGTGTAGAGGGCGTGCTGAAAGCCACTCATCTGCGGTCTGATGCAGTCTGATGCAGTCTGGGAGATCAGGGCTGGCCTTGGAGATCGCAGAACGCTCAGGCGGTGCCTCGTTCGCCCATCTGCCTCGTGAACAACCCCGAGGCGGTGTCGAAGGGCAGTGGATTTGGGGCCGCGGGTCGAAGGCTTATTAGAGGCTTAGCAGCTTAGCAGATACTCATGTATTGGTTTGGTACCTCGGTTCCGTGTCACAGTTTCTGCTCACGCCGACCTTCATTTTCCGGACTCCTGGGCGGCAATCCTACTCCAGCACGGTTGGGCATTGGGGCTTTTTGCAGTCTCTGCTTGGGGAGCTGAGCTGCGTGGTTCAAGCATGTCATGTCTGTGACAACTCACGCTCGTGCGCCCTGCCCTGCCAGATGTGCTGGACCAAAACGATGCGACGCTACGCTCTGACCAGTGAGAAGCCACCGAGCGAGTTCCAATTCCTGCGCTTCGGCTTGGTTTCTTGGATTTCGGGATGCCTCGGAATGCGAAGGCGGCCCGTCCGCCACGTGCGCTTGTCTGCTCTTCTTGAATAGTGTGTGTGTGTGTGTGAGATCCTTGAATGAGCGTTGGGATGATGTGGTATGCTCTTTGCGAAAAGTGCAGTTCTTGGATCCTAGCTGCAAGTGCTTTGTTTTACCAGCGTTCTTGGGCAGAATCATGAAACGCTCAGGTACTGGAACCTGCATGCCCAGTGCGACTACATGCTCTTGCTTGGACTGCCAGGGTTCTCGACCCCTCGGCAGTTTTAGGACTTTGGTAGTTGAGCTTAGGGCCTAGGGTTACCTTACCAGTGCCTTGCTGCATCCGCATTCCGGCTTTTTCAGGGAGGCCCACAGTCTCTGCGCAGGAGGCTGGGGAGTCAGCGGCTGCGCACGGCCGTCCCACCGCACACTGAAGAGCCATCGCTGGGCCCACAAAAAGTGCCTTGGCTCTGATGGGCTTCCAGCTTTGGTACACTCGCCGACCGCATACTCAGCTCATGTTTCAAGGCGAGTCTCTAGAGGGTATGCAAGTGGCGTTTTTCCCTTCCACCAGCGGTAATTGTCTGGATTGGTTCTTGGCTGATCTTGGCTCCATTTTGTATTAGTCGGGCCTGGACCCCCTCTCTGAAGCTTTCAAGCGCCTCTTGGGCGTTTACTCAGATTACAGTTGATACTTGCAGCAAGCTCTGTAACGAGCCATTACGAAGCTTCGCCGTCGCTTCAAGTTGATGCCCTGCTGCCGTGACTTGCATGACGAGGTTCACTGGATCTTGCTTTATGTGAGATATCAGAACAGCAGGTTCAGCGCCACGAGGTTTGCAGTAAAACTTTAGGCTCTGTGCAACTCTTCCCATCAACGTGACCAAGCCGTTCTGTCAGGAGCGAGGTTTGTGTCCAAATTCCTCAGACGTATCGCTGCTTTGCAAGTGTTCGTTGCTGTGAGGCTTTTGCCTGAGGAGTTCGCTCATGGCACACGGCTGAAGGCAGCCATGCTCTGCTACCAACAGGGAGATTGGTGTTCTGGTCTTTGGATCGTTACACACGCAGTTTGCAGCCGGCCCCTCCCAAGCTCAAGGACCTTCCTGCGCCTCCTTGGGTGTAGGGTTGGTTCAACGCTCCCTGCGCGATCGTTGCTGGGTGTGTCTTCCTTGTCCGGGTGCAGCTAGGTGCGAATGGATCTGGCTGCAATCTCCTCCAATCCTGATCTGAACCCAATATCACAAGAAGCCCGCCGCCGAAACTATAAGATTTCAATGGACACCGCAAGGCCACGTGCTGGAACGAGCGGTACAAGGGCATCCGCCTGGGGATCCGCGGCAACGAGGCCACACAGATTCTTGAGTCTTTCGTGCTTCCTTGGCTGTTGTTGCCGTTTGTTGTGCTGTCGTTGCCCTGTTGCAAAAGTCGGATTGTTGCAGGGACCCCGCGAGATCAGAAGCTCAATATGCAGATGTGACGAGAAGCACCTGTGTACAGGGATGCTTCAATCTTCCGGAACCTGTCGGTTTAGAAGCCAGAGGGCCAAGGGCGATCCTCAAATATCCTCAAGCTTCTGCGAGGGCTCGAGCGGCACTTTAGCGTTGATAGTGGTGGACGCGCGCCATTCAAGAAAGGAGCAAAGAAGGTGGCAAGTTGAGACAAATGAGAACCGCGGCAACAGGCCGGTGGGCCACTTGCGGAATCTGCCTGCGGAGTGCTGGCTAGTCATGCTCCGCAAGTCTACCGAAGCCACGCCATCCGCATCCGAACTTTCCATCCGCGCATTCGGGATTCCGAACGCTGCATTTGCTGAATCGCTTCGTCGCTTCAGGTGGCTACCTGCGTAAGCGGCCCGGGCCCCTGGCAGAAGGGTTCGGGGGGCAAGCCATGATCCGGGGCATTGAAGACCGCGCTTTGCTTGTGTGTTGGGCCTTGGGGTGAGACAGCCGGAGCTCCCGGAGCTCCCAGACCAGGCAGCTGGTTCAGTTCGAGCAACCTCCCCGGCTTCGGCGACTTCTCCTGTGTCGCCTGCGTGCAGGCCTGTCCCAGGTCACACGTAAAGTCTTCCAAACAGCAACCCACGTTGGCGGTTCGCATGAAGAGCGAGCTCAAAACAAGCCCTATAGGTTGGCACGAGTGGATTCGGCGATGTGGAAACCAAACGGCAGCAGGACCGGAGCTGTCGAAGTTCGGCGGGGTTCTGTCTTGAAGCCGGGACGAGCAGAATCTTATCTTGTGTCACACCGGGATTGTTCTGTTCACCGGTCGTCCTGAATAAAAGCGCGGAGGTCGGAAGAAAAGCTTCCAATGTGATCGGTGTGGTCGTCCAGAACTAGACTTGACAGCCAACCATCTCACGCTCTGTGATATCTGATGTCAGGAGCTGTACTACTTCAACAAGCTGGCACTGTCGATACACAGTGAGGCGGCTTGTGCATCAGGGGAAGGTCCACTTCACAAGTCAAGCATCGTCGGTGTACGCTGCTAGACACTGTTAGCTGTGCTAGGTGAATCCCATCGCCGATGCCAAGGTGGGCTGCTTGAGACATGTGTCACCTGAACTCCTGAACCCAAGCGGCTCTGAACTGTGGGATCCCAAATCGAGCAGCTCGAACTTCTCTCGCCGTGGTCTTTCAAGTCATGCCCCAAGGCTTTACGAATTGTGGGGCTTTGGGAGGGATTTGCTGCCTGGCTGGTGGCTGAGCCTCGAAGAGCTTACAGCAGCCACTCCCACCAAAAACATGATCTATGCTCTTCTGGATCAAAACGTCCTCTGCCCAGGTGAACTGCATGGAGCCTGTTCGCCCCAAGGCAGGTCAGGAGACCTCGCTTCCTGAGGAGCGTCGCGGGTCGCAAGGGCGTTTCCAGACCCCTTTGATGCCGAGACCTTCCGAGAACCGGCTGACCCCCTCCCCTCGCCCCGTGCAAGGACCTGACGAAGGTACACACTTTCGACCTCAAAGGCCTGGCGGCCTGGCCCTTTTCCTTTGTGAGGGGAGAGAGAGAGAGCAGAGTCGGTCAGGAAGAGAGCCGAGAAGTGTTGCATTTGAATGCTCTTCGGATGTGATGTGTGACTGCGTGTGTTCGCATGTGTCAGTCAGTGTTTACTTTCTCTGGAACGAAGGCCTATAGTACCTATAGAAACCAAAGGCAAGTTGATATTGAGCATCCTTGATGGATTTACCAGTAGCCCCACTGACTTTGATTCGCCAATCTTCGGAGATCACTTCATGACAGGGCACGACTTCACGATCATGAACGATGTGATTGGTGAGACAACGCTTTGGCGAAGCAACGACGAGGCAAGGAAATCGAGGGCGTGGGAGGCTCAACTCGTTCGCTCTCGAGCCTTCTTTCCAAAGCAAGCTGTGGCAAGGAGCGAATATGCCCTTGTCCTGCATTCCGAAGATTGATTGTCAAGCTGCAGCACTCGCAGCAGTCAAGTTTGAGAGCAGTAACCGGTGCTTGGCTAGCCTGACTTGCTTGGAGGCTTCGAAGAAAAAGCATCTAGGCCGCAAGCATTGATGCCTGTACTTCCCTGTCTTCACCGGCTTCGCTAGTGGAGGCCGGCCCAGACTCTTTACAGCCCGATGGTTTCAGGCAGGGATACGGAAGCGGTTGCCAGTTTCCAGCGTCAGCTTGTAGCTAGGTAAGACGGCGGCCCAGGTATACTTTCCAGAGCTTGCCGGAGGCTTTGGCCGCTTGCGCCACTGACAGCAAGTGTTGGACACTTGCCCTAAATTTGAGGGTGCAGAGTGTTAGCTTGGCGTGACCTGCCAGTCACTGCCGGATGGAGCAGCAGTTGTAGTTTGGGTTGCCACCGTTGTGAGTATGGGATACTTGGGGAACGTGCTAAAGCGAAGCTTAAATCAAGCCATGTGCGGGCAGAGCTTTCCCACGTTGGCATTGTGTGGCTGCTCTCAATTGTCAACTTAACGAATAGGTCAAGTGGCCTGTGCCTCGGTCCATGGCAAGAACTCCGGAAAGACGCTCGAGTTGTTCCGAACTTGACTTCAAATCCTTTTTCCGAGCCGTGCTGGCCACCAACACACCAAGGTTCGTGTCGCGGTCCGAGGGAACTCAGGTCGGGCCGGCTGCGTTGCCCAATTTTCTGGACTGAAGAGGTTTCTGGGTTACTCCTGGCAGCTTTCGCTTCTCAAGACCTCTTTGCTGTCTGGCCTGGTGAGGTGGGCGCCTCACTTCGCCGGTTCGACATGCGTGCAGGGTGCCATGGACCCAAAATTTGTACAGTACGCTTCATTTGCATGCGTGCTTCGATGTTCCCGTTACAGCATGTAGTTCTCTTTGTAGGATGTATGTAGGCTTCTGCAGTACTATGCAACTGTGAAAGTTGCTGAGCGTGACTGACCTGTTAGGGCATGCCGTAAACCTTTTCAGTGAGTTCATTGCTGTGAGATTGAGCGCGTTATCGCAGCCAAGCGGCTCTCGGTAGCCAGCAAGGAAAAAGCGTGCGATGTTTCAGCGAAAGCTTGTGCAGCAGTGAGCGAAGCCCAGATTCGCATTGGTGTCGCGGAGCAGGGAATGGCCGAAGCAAGCAGCCCTGCAGTAAGCAGCGATGCGGTGGATGCAGCGATGGATGGCAGCAGTGCTAATGATCAAGGCGATCAATGGCAGCGACAGCAGTGGTCATCGCAAGCGCGGTGGCCACAATCCAGTTACAACGCGTATCAATACACCTGGCCAGGTGATGTGTGGAGCGCTCGCGGCTGGGCGCAAGATCGAGACTGGTGGCAAGGCCCGTGGGGGCGATCAGGATCGACAGGTTGGAGTAGGGACAACCAGGACGGTTCTTGGTCCAATTGGGCCGGCTATCAGGCTCCTAGGGAAATAGACTCTGGGAGTGGAAATGCAGAAGTGAGCTATGATGGAACGCGCAGAGCATCGATGCAGTCGGCTACCCAATCGACTGAGGTGACCGGCTCGACGGATGATCGCGAGCCGGACGATCATGATCAAAAGGACAGCGACATGGCAAGCAGCTCCGAGCGGCTCCCTAAAACGGGGAAAGAGCATGTGCCAGAATTCAATGGAAGCACTCCGATGAGAGAATATGAACGACGGGTACGGCTCTTTGAATCTTCGTCAGGAATAGATCCATCATATCGAGCACAGAAACTCATGGAGCGGTTGACCGGTGCTGCATGGTTAGCAACTGAGTCCCTTGACATCCAAGAGCTCAAACATCCGAAAGGAGTAGAACGGCTCCTCTCACACTTGTGGCAGGAGCTGGAGCCCCTTGAGTACTTGAGGATTTTCTCCACCTTGGCCGACTTCTACAAGAACTTCCGCCGGAGCCCGGGCCAAGAATACATTGCTTATGACATGGAGTTTCGTGCTCATTTGAAGAGGCTCGAGGAAATTAATGCCAAGATTGATGGATTGACCAAAGCGTTTTGGTTCATTGAGAAAGCGGGCTTATCAGGCGACCTTCGAAAGCAAGTTGTAGCCGCAGCAGGGGGAGATTACGACTACCACAAACTGAGGAAGGCCTTGATGGCAATCGTGCCACGTGTCAACAAGGAAGAGGATTCACACGGCAGGCCCAACTCCGGGAATCGACACTGGAAAACCAGGAATCACCCACCTCCACGACAGGTGCATGCCACTACAGATGATACGGTGGATGATTCGGAAAAGGACGAGATGGAGGACGGAGGCCATGATGCCGATCAGCTCGAAGGTGAATTAGAAGTATTGATGACACAGGCCGCGAAGAAGAGGGCGCAGATCGAGAAGGCCCGCGGGTTCACCCGGAACGAGTCACAGGAGGACCGCGAGAAGCGGATTCGCAGCATGAAAGATAAGATGCCGTGCTCGGCATGCAAGGCTCACGGAAAGACCGTGTTTGGTCATTGGCATGGTGATGCTGTCTGTCCGTATCACAAGGACAATAAGTCCCAGAACGTGCTAGCAGTGATCGAAGAGCAACTTACCGACAGTGATTCGGGACAGGAAGATCTCTTTGCTCCAGAGGGCGTCTTTGTCACGACAGAGGACTACAGGAATCACGAGGCAAGCCAGGAGCCGAATCACGAGGTCTGGGTCGGATCACTGAGTGAGAGAGACGGAAAGAGCTGTCGTAGTCAAACTTTAGCACTTAGTGACACATGTTGTGCGCGGACCGTTGCGGGTGAGAAGTGGATGAGATCTCACATGAAACACCTTCGAAAACTTCAGGAAGATGTGTTTGTCATCCCCGAAGCGCGGCCCTTCAGATTTGGAGCAGGACCGAGGGTTATGTCGAGTTATGCCGTGATCATTCCCATCAGCATCCCCCATGCCAAGAAATGGGCTCACCTCCGAGTGAGCATTGTCGACCAGGATGTGCCGTTGCTCATCAGCAAGGGGGCGATGAAGCAGCTGGGAGTGGTCTTGGACTTGGCTTCAGGAAAGGTTCTTTTCAAAGAGTTGAATGCAGATGCACCTCTCAGGGAGACCAAGACGGGTCTTTGTGGGTTCGACATCAATGTCAAAGCTTCTCAGAAGAGGTGCGAATGCCCTGATAATAGACTACTCGATCATGACTGCGAAGTGGTTCTCCAAGAGTGGGGAAGCCGGACAGAACAGGAAATTCTGATGACCTCAACCACGACAGCGAACCAGGGGAAGGACCAGAAGGGGGAGGACCGAATTAGACAGACAGCAAAAGCCATCTCCGAGTGTGAGTTGTTTGCGCGCGATATGATCAAGAAGGGCGACTTCTCGTTTGATGCTCTCCTTCAGTTGTTGAGGAAGTTGCCTCTCGGAGAAAGTCATCGACATCGCAGCATCAACGGAGGGCAAGGACTGGCTGTGAATCCGTGGACGGTTGGGTTGTATGTTCATGGAAAATGGGTTGGTATGACTAATCGCTCCATGGAGTATCCGTATGTCGTCCGGTATATCAACATGTGTATGCGGAAGCGAAGTCGCACTTCATGGACATCCATTGCAATCCACAAGAATACCATGATGCAGCCACATGCCGATGTCAACAATTCGAAGCAGGACTTATCTACGACGGTGACCCTGGGGGAGTTCGCCGGAGGCGAGATGTGGATCAGTCAACCGCATGAGCATGACAGTAAAGAAATCGTGTGGAAGCAGGACTCACAGGGACGCCATCATCCAGGGCAGCTGGTGTCTACGTTCAAGAAGCCGTATGAGTTCGATCCGCATGTGCTACATGGTACCCACACATGGTCGGGAGAGAGATGGTGTGTGACTCTGTATACCATTCGGAATGCAGCCCAGGTTGATCAAGATGTGTGGGATGCTATGAAGAGATTGAAATTTCCTCTTCCGAGGAGATCAGCGTCCAGGACCTTTGGGGTAGTGAATGAGCCATGTGAAGACGATCGTCTGTCTTCGTCAAACCGAGAGCCGCGAGAGAGAAGTGAAGATAGCGATTGTCAGCAGAAAACTCCGCAGCAGAGATCCGATCTCAAGATTTCGAGTGTGAGTTCACAAGCCGGGCGACAAGATGACCAGCACGGCCTCACAGCAGGTGGTGGCTCCTCGCAGGAAGGCCGAGTTCATCTCAGCGATTGCGTGCCGCTGCAAAGTCCCCGAGGAGGAGCTGAAAGTTCATACGGTCGACAGGCTCCGAGAGATCTGGGCCGTATTGAAGCCCAGCAAGAAGGAGGCCATCCTGCCGGTAGGATGGAAGAAATTCGACCTCCAGGACCTGCGCAACCTCTACGAGACGAGAGTCATCCCCGACTTGCAGAGGGACAACGACAATCACTGGAGGAAGTGGCGCCGCTCTCAGTTCCTGCTCGAACTCGAACTATGGGAATCCGAGATGAAGGAAGCCACCAAGAACGAGCAGGACGTGGTGTCTCCCCATCCGTTCTGCAAAACATGCATGATACCCATGATGGTTCGCACCAATCGCTTAACTCTGGAAGAGTTTTACGGCTGTCGCCGTTTTCCGGAGTGCAGAATGTGTTTGCCAATGACATATGCCAATCGACCGACGGTCATAGTCCAGAGAGAACTCGACGAGAAGAAGATCAAGGAGGGCTACGCCGTTCACAAGAAGGAGATCGAGCCCGACAGGATGTCGGCGATGATGGAGGCCAAGACGGACCGGGCCAAGAAGCGAGCGGCGGCCAAGCATGCCCAGGTCTCGGGGACGTCGTCAGACGGGTCGTGGATTGCGGCCGGAGCGCAGGATATTCCCGAATCTTCAGGGGACGAGGCCGAGACCAAGGAGAAGCGGATCTTCAACGCCAACCTCACCCCCGAGGAGATTGCCATGGTCGAGCTGCTCCGAGCGAAGCAGCTGGAGGACAAGCAGAATCCCAAGAGCCACAAGTGAGCCAGGATGAGGTTCATGACAAGGGCCCCGAGCTGCTTAGTCCCTCCGGAATCAGGGATCGTATTCGCGAGGGTCGTGAGCGTAGGGCGCAGTTAAAGAAAGGGGTGATTAAGCGGCTCTTGGGGAACACGCGGGCGGTGGCCGCTGGCGTCTTTATCAGTACAGTTGCCATGTTGGGTGCAGCTATGGAAGCTGTGCCTCAGTGGTCTCAGGTGCGTCCAGATATTCTGGAAGTGTGTAGCGGCAGTGCACATGTGTCGACAGCCTTTTCACGATGGGGTTGGTATACTGCTAAACCGGTTCAGATTATCAGTGATATGTGTGATGCGGACGCACGTCATGAACTGATCGAATGGATCGACTCCTCGAAGCCCAGATTGGTTGTGATGACAGATTGTTGCCCGAGGTCTCCGCCGGTGTATCCATGGCACAGGAACAAATCTCAGGCTGAGCGAAGAGCCAGGAAGTGGAGAGAGAGACAGAGAGGCCATGTGGAGTTCATCCATCGAGTTTTTGATGCACAGCTCGCACGGCGCGATCATGCCATGGCTGAGATTCCGATTGGGGAAACATGGGGTGTCGAAACAGTCGCCGCCAACATGCTTAAACATCCGAGGATTAGATGTGTGTTGGGAAGACAGTCCGATAGCAATCGGGGACCATGTGATATGTGGGTGACCAGTTCACACCATGTCGCTAATGAGATTGAGAAATTTCGGAACAGTCAGAAGCATGACGCGTCAGCCAATCGAGCGATGCAGGTTTGTCGGCAGAACCAGGCTTTTGCGAAAGCAGTGTGTACTGGATATTTGCAACAGTTAAAGGAAGATGACCCGAGCCGGGTTCGGAAGATGTTGCGGAACGTGGCCACTCGGATAAGAAGCCGAAAGCGAGCCGGCAAT